CAATAACATGTCATTGAAAAATCAAATTAAATGATAAAATATATTTACGTTTCTCACTTGCAAATTTGAAGGGAGGTAGAGCCTCAGAAGAATGAGAAAAACGCGTCTGTAAAACAAGTGAATTTATCCTATTAAGACATTCTTTTACCAGCTAATTTAGGAAGGTAAGCGTCTATCAGAAGCTTTACTTGTTAAAATAATTACTTTTATGTCTTCGTAGTTATTGGGGTATACAAAATCTATTGGGACAATCTTATAGATGAGGGTGATTGACTTGGAATCATTTCATGCGGGACATACTATTATAATTTGATACTTTATGTTTCGGACTCTATTAATCCCTGTCCAAACAAAGTTACTTTGGTTATGTACAAAAATAACCCAAAGCCACATAATTTGTTGGTTGTCACTTGTCACTTCAATTTCATCAATAATCAAAAGCACAAAAATAATCTCAGATATTTATCACTAGTTATTTACTTTCAAAGTACAATATTATAATTATCTTGTCTATATCATTAGGGTAAAAAGATAGCGAATTAGGCAAGCTTTGACCAGGGCAATGAGAAAGTAATTTGGCCTTAATCATATTTAATTACGTATACTAAAATTAATAAAAGTAGCTGCATTTGCCCAATATTCTACCAAATTCACACCTGGCTCGAACTTCGATAGTTGGTTTAGGTAAAGTAGGAGAAAAGCCGCATTAATTTTTACTACACGTTTTAGATAAGTCAAGTTTTGTCGGCCTTAATTGCTTTTATCACAGTAATTAGTCAAAGATAATTAAAACATTGTTTAAAGAATAACAAAAGTTTCACCTTGATCGTAAATGAGATGACAATTTTTCTCTGTTTGAGCTAGCTTTTGGGACCTAATTTAACATGATATCAGAGTAGAGTCATCTCATCCAATGCTTGGGCCACCAAAATCAGAATTGCCCATGCCCAAGCACCATATGCTAAGCAAGTGGGGTGTAAAAGAATGACAAAAATCCCAATGAGATGGGTAAATTACTTATAAGACTTGGACAATCCTCCGCCCTTTAAACTAGTTTTTTGGGGCGTGAATTATGTTTAAGTCCTAATTTAACAAACATAATCTGTGATTACCGATTTATACAGGTGTTAGGCCCATTTGGTTAGGATGTCCATCAGATTAGACATTAGAAGCGATTAACTAGTATGTAATGTTTAGGCGAATTTAGGAAGTGTGTGGATCCCCACGGATTTGGTTTTGATGGGAAGAACCACATGGAAGAGTGAATACTGATCCTCTTTTTACGCTAAGTGTCGCAATGAAAATCATAATTGATATATATGGGAGTGATTGGGGAAGTATTACGTATGTGTGAAGTGAAAGCTCAATAATCTGAAAAACAAAAGCAAATGTATGATTTTTGTTTTTGTGGTTGAAATTATGGTAAGAAGTGAACGAACTAACGAGTTAAAGAGAAAAATAAATTCAGAGGCAAAATCATTGAAAAAGTGAACATTCTAATGTGAAAACAAAGTAGCATAATGGAATGTCGGTAGGCGAAGGATACTTCCATTTGCTGCGTTTTGTTTTTTTTAGAAAACGTCATTTCTCCTCAAGTACGGTCTGGGCCTCAATATGAAGGCCTCACTTTGTGGGGATCCAACTTGGATTCTGTGGCCCATATCAATATTTCCCTCCACTATATTGTTCATTTTATTTCTTTCTCGTGTTCAGTACTCACATTGAAGCTTAATTAATTAACATATTTTCACATCGTACGACTCCACTTGAGAAAAAGCATTCCTTATCAAAGATTTTTCCATATCCAAGAGTTAAACCTGAAGTCGTTAGTTAAGAAAGGAACAGTATCATCCGTTACACTACTACTGATATATCTTTTTGTCCTTGTATGTGCACTCACCTGGGAAATGGTATACTAGCATAAATTTAGTTATTAAAGTAGTGGTACTTACCAAAATATAAGAGGAATATTTTTGTACGAAATTATTTGAAGGTCGAGACATTTGAGTTTGACAACTCTTTCTAGTATTTTGTATAACTGTTATAATTGTCGGAAGTTCAAAATATAATTGAATTCTATTATTTAGGGGGGTGACAGATGGTTAGTATTTTATATAACTATTATAGTTGTCGAAACTTTGAAATATAATTCACTTCATTATTTAGTGAAGTGACAAATAGTCAATTCGAATTTAATTTGAACATATTAAAATTTCGCCCAAAGGTTATTTTTGAGATTGACTAGAAAAAGTTGAGTTAAACATAAGGTCATAACTCAACGTGCATTTTTACAATTTTTGTTTGTTTATTTATCATTTTATCATGAAGCAAAACTAATAAAAAAAAAAAGAAAAAAGAAGAAGCCATTATTCTATATAGAAATAATTGATAAAATTTATCAAAATGGATTAACGTTAATAAATGCATGAATCATGAAAATTCGAAATCTTATAATTTCTTGAATGAACTTTAAGAAATTTTATAATTCATTACACTCCCCTCATCTCCCGTTTCAGTCTAGTAAAAATAAGGGAAAATTATAAATAATAGCAAACTAATAATCTTAAATAAATTGAGTAGTTAGGGTTTAATTTAATTGTGCTCCATAGCAAACATTTGCAAAAAATTGCCAGACGTCTCTCTCCCAAATATCTCGTTCGCCACTCTCCTCCAATCTCTCGCTCGCTTCCTCATTTTTTATACAAACACAAGTGTATAAAAGATGTTTCTAATTGTATAAAGCAGAGAAGATTGTATAAATACATATATTTTTGTTCCCCTCTCTCCCCTCTTCCAGATACATATATTTTTGTTCCCCTCTCTCCCCTCTTCCAGATCTCGCTCGCTACTTTCCCAAATGTCGTTCGCCACCCTCGCTTTTCTCATTTATACAAACAGAAGCGAAATGTATAAATTGTGTTTCAATTTGTATAAAGCGTGAGAAAATTGTATATACACATGCAAGTACATATATTTTCGTCCTATACACTTATAATTATACAATAAAAATACTCCCCTGCCCAGTTTCTTTTGCCTTTCTCTCTTTCTCATTTTATACAATTTTCAAATTGTACCTAATTTCTCTTTTTCTCGTTTTATACAATTCGATTCAATTGTATATTCCTTGTCAAGTCTCTTTTGTCTTTCTCTCTTTCTCATTTTATACAAATTCAAATTGTATATAATCGTTCTATACAGTTATAGTAATACAATTCGTTTTATATACTTCATTTTTATACAGTTTTCTGCCCAAGTGTCTTTCTCTTTCTTGTTTTATACAATTTGTTTCAACTATATATGTATAGCGAATTAAGTTTCTATATTTGCTATGGAGGACAATTATGCAAACTTTGTTATAACAATAACTAATAATGTCAAATAATAAAATTGTTTAAGAAAGCAACATAAAAGAAAGATTTGTTTGAATGGAAATAGCAATAACTAATAATGTCAAATAATAAAATAAGATAATAGGGAACATATATATCTAGCAAATCACGATAATACATCAAATAATTATGACAATAAAGTTCGACCTAAATAAAAGGCAATCAATAACAATTACGAATGTTAAATACTAGACAGTTTGAGCGAATATCGGTCGGACAAATTCTTTTTGGGCATACATTGGCTTAACATGAACTAAATAATGAGTGATATCCGAACTTATCGACTTCCAACCTTTTAAATTCTTTTTGTTTTCTTATAAATTACTTTATCACGTAATAAAACTTTTTTTTTTTATTATTATTATGATTATGACTATACATAACATGTTAAACAATTAAGAAAAGACTTTTATTAATATTTTGACAAGGTTATTGTTTAATTCAGCTACATATTTAGGCCAATTAACTTAAACTTTTACCAAAGTTAGAATTTGAATTAGATCAAAATGAGCAATTAAGTAAGAAAATAGGAGGGTGTTAACTCGCCCAAACTTACACAAATTAATATAAGTTCATATTTTTGAATCGTAATATTTCACAAGTTATGCTCATAGATAACTTGAGTTTCTGAAGAATTTTTGCCGCATTAGGCATATATTCAATTGTAAAAGATAAATTGAAGAGTAAAAAATTTGAAAAACAAAACGTGTAATTTCATGTTAGACTAATGTTGCAACAAGACCAAGATTATGAGAAGGCACATACCCTCGTTTACACTCTCTCCACCCTTTTTTCGGTCCCATTAATTCCTATATAAGTTATATGTAAATTGAACGAGCATAACACCATATAAGAACTTGAAAATGAATCATTTAATGATGATTTGTATAGAAAACATATAGAAGAAGTGACCCGGACTATTTCACTCATATAATAACATAAATCATGAAGGCAAAAACTTGCTCTACTTCCATCTAAAGATGGATAGGAATTACTGGAATTAATTAGCATGATCAAAATAATCATATCATTATTTGTAGACTACTGTATTTTAGTTTACTAATGGTTGATGAACCATTTGACTGCTACTGTCATTCAACAGTTAAGCCCTAAACTTAAACCAGCATGTATGTATACCCATAAGGAAGATACTGGCCCAACGATTAGTGGCCCAACAGTACAACACACAGTTTTTTAGGGATAGAAGAATTAACCTAAATAGTTGTGCATTCAATCTCATAGAATTAAATATCCAGCGGATATACAATATGTGTACATTAGTGCATAATTTATGTATAGTAGCTCCATCTTTATCCGCCTCTAAATTATGATATTTTGTTAAGATCTATGTATATCATGTAAATAGTTGTATGTATAATTTAAATTTCTTGATGATCAACAAATTGCTTCTTGTCATCTTTTTGTATGATTAATTCATGCTATACATCTTATATTACATGCTTCAAAATGTAATTAAGTTTGTTTTTTCACTACAATTACTGAATGCATAGAGCAAAAGAACAAAACATTTTAATGTTCCTGCATGATCATCCATAGTTGTCTCAAGTTCCACCAGATTTATCTAATCACCTGCATAAGTAACAGAAGGAATTCAAGTCCAAACAATTTGGTTCACACACTTTGATACATAAATGTGCCTGTTCCAGTCTTGTTAAAAGAGAGCCTAAAACAAAGATGGTCGCTTGTATTTCTCTTGGGAAACAATTGAATACAACAGAAAAAACTAATAAAGCTTAAGAGGATCCAATTCAGTCCCAAGCTGATCTAACCTTGCAAATACATGCTTCAAAATGCTCAAAAATTATAGGAGGAATTCTCCCTACTACTTCCAAGGGTTAGCGGCAGACGTAGCTTCTTCCAATCCTAGCATCAAACAAGGGGTGAAACTTTTTCTCTAAGAGAAATTGGTTAATCTGCAACTAACATTAGGACAGGGAATGCCTCCTACTTCTTGATGGGGTGGACTTCGATTCCCCAGCATTGGAAGAACCGGGGCTTTCTGATGTATCAGAGCTGCTGTTCTCGCTTAGTCTATCTTTGTTGGACCACAGCTTTGAAAAGAGCTTCTTGGACATGATTAAGCCCTTTGCTTTGCCACCAATAACTTTTTCAACACTCATTTTTATGTCTATTGAATTAGTATCATTGCAACCAGCTTCTTTGTCTCTCAACCTTAGAGTAGCAAGCTCCCCTTTCAAAGCTTTAAGTTCCTCAGCAGTTGGCACGGCATCCCAGTCCTCGTCTGTGTTTGTTGTGGCAGATCTTGAGCTCCCATGGGATTCCCCTGGAAGCAAAGACTTGATTGTTCCAGCTAGGTCAGGGGTGCTGCCACCACCAGATGATGTTGTTGCTCTGGCTTGCTCAAAGAATAGAACTTGTACAACTACTCTCAACGGAAGGCGCTCATTCTGCACAGCATGCATGCATGCCTCAGCTGATAGCTTCCGGCAGTCCATAAGTTTACAAATTCTTTTCCTTTCGCTCTTGGTGATTCCTGGATGTTCCTGTCAAAAAGGAAATGATCATTCAAGAGTCCATCAAAATAAATCAGTCACACAAATGTGCCATGCGGCGCCTCAAGGCTTTTACTAATTAATACATTTTTTCTTCGAGTTATGTAGAGCTTACGGATTATAAAAAAGTTTTCTTTGAAAAAGAAAATTGCAAAAAGGATACCTTGAGATACATGTCAATAGCACGGTAAATTCCATCATGGGAAGGTCTAGGGAAGCCAGACACCATTTCAGCAAGATTGACAAATTTCGCCAAAGGTAGATTTGGATCTCGAGAGACTTCTGCAAGGTAACCATCAATCACCCTTGCCACCTTGACTTTGGAAGAGTCTGATGCAAATGCAGGGTACATCTCCTGATATTCATTATCTTCAGGAAAATCACTCTGACCGCTCCTTTTCTGCAGCATGAACTGCTGAACAAGTTCAAGTACTGTGTCAACATCATATGTCATAGTTTCATTAGCTGGTGCCCGAAGGAGGAGGTCAGCTACCGATGCCTCATCAAGCTGCTGGCTAATCCTCCTCTTCAGTTCACTTTGTACTGTCTCTCCACATTCCAAAGAAACAGAAGTCTGTAACAATCTGATCAAGAAACTACATGAAACACTATGTTTCTCTGTGGGCAACAGAGAAGTAATCATATCAACCAAGTACTGATACTTAACAGGATCACTTCCTGGGATTTTACCCTTGCTGAATCCCGGTAGCCTTCTATAGGCATATGCTCTCAATGCCTCACCAATTACTTCTGGAGACATTCCTCCCTTTGTTTTTATTGTTGTTATTACCCGTTTATACAAGTCAATATGAAGTTCAGAAAGGTCCTCAACCCACCAGTCTCGTGGAACATACTGCTGCTTTTGCACACCATTCCATAGCGGATCACTTCCATTTTCTGATGGGAGCTTTTTGCGATTATATGTATACGACCAGTCCACCTTTGAGGTGTCAATGTAAGCTTTAGATGCAACAGAGTCCAGACAATGACTAACGATCTTTAATTCCTCAGACCAGGGAAGAAAAGCTTTTGTTGTTTGGAGAACAATGATTGAATCTTTCCAGCTCCGGAAGATGCTAGATTTAAGAAAAACCTCAAGCTTGTAGATAATGTTACCTTTCTCGACAGTTTCATACATTTCCAGGTATTCCGCGGCACAACGAGCCACAACTACATTATACGCATTCAGAGTTACCGTCATACCATAACAGAACTTTGCACATATTTCAAAAGCTGCAGGTCCACCAGGTATATCGTCAATGTTGATTTCATCATTGTTTTCCTCATTTGTATTAGCTGTCAACTTCTGTAAACGAAAACTCTTGGACAGAAGGGGGAACTGGAGGAAGTATAATCCTATCAGTATTAAAAAGTAATGTATTGAATGGATAAGATAGTAAGCAGACAACAATATGAACATGAGAACGATTCACATCTATATTAGCTGTCAACTTCTGTAAACGAAAGCTATTGGACAGAAGGGGGAACTGGAGGAAGTATAATCCTATCAGTATTAATAAGTAATGTATTGAATGGATAAGATAGTAAGCAGACAACAATATGAACATGAGAACGATTCACATCTATATGCATGTGAATAACCAGATAAAATGAATGATTAGGCTCTCTCATTGAGAGTAATCCCATCATAGTAGGCTATCCATTTAAATAACCAGCAGTAAGCAGGAGCCAAGATGAAATCGATAAAAAACTTTGCACCTTGATCAATTTTGTCTATTAACCACTTCGATAATTGGTGGGCATGTCTAACGCCAACAGGATGAGTAATTTACTCTTTTAGTAGTATTTCTGGAGTAATCAAGGTCGATCAATATCTAAGATTATGTTTCAAAAGTACAATTTTAGTTTAACAAGCAGAAAAAAGAGTAGCAAATATGGCTTGAGATGGAGAGCATACCTTGTGGAGATAGAATTTTACATCTCCAACATTGATGACCATATCTGTTGCCAATTCAGTGGCTACATACCTAAATAGAAAGCTCATACATCATATTCATGATGAAACCATTTCAAATGATTTTAACTCGTACAATATACACATCGCTATCAGATTACGTATCAAAAAAAATCGAGATGATACACCCCACCATAGTGCACATAATTAATATGTAGTAGCTGGACTGGAAAATGGAGGTTTTCCCTGCCGAAACAAAGGACAAACTGAGATCAGCTATCACTGAACACCAGCTTTGTCAAGGTACTGTAATTGGTATATGATCCCAAGTGTTTGTAAGAAGGTAGTGTGTATAGGTGTAAAGGAGAGAGGAAGGATGTCAGTTCTCATGAGTGAAAGAAAAGTTCATCCGTTAACCAAGCTATTTGAACTGAGATAGCAGGGGGGAGGGGAGGTTTCTGGACAAACACCACATGAGATAAAGCTTTTGGCATCAATGAAACTATGTTATGAACCAATCTTTTCAAGTGTAGTTCATAGATGAGAAAAAGGAAACTTGTACAATCCTACTCCTTCCTCATTGGGATAATTCTACATTTCTTTTATTTCATGTAGTGAGAAAATGATGCTATGGATATTATTGCCAAACTTACAAAAAATGGTGAAGCAAATTAGTTTTTCAGACACTTCACAAGCTTAAAGAAACAGTCCACAGCAACTTAATGAGTAGAAATTATGAGCAGTGCAAGGCTAAGTTGCTCAGACTCTTCAAAATTGATGTCGAGTGCGTGTTGGATCGGCAACATATTTGGAGAGTCTGAGCAACTTAGGAGCAAGGTCTTACAGAAACATATCTGATAAGTATTTGACAAGAGGGGAATCAAGAATAAGTGATTGAGGCACTTAAGTCCTTAAGCAACAGTAAGCAACTCAGAGACTTGTTTGTTCTAATACTTAAGCTTCACTCTTCTCAAGCCCATCCCACCACTTGTGAACAACATGCTTAAGAATGTAAAAGTGATTGAAAATTTTAAATTTTCAGGAAGAGATTTTGGAAAGGCAATACACACATATTGTATGAGAGGTAAGAGGTAAAGGCACTATAAAAATATACATGAGACATATATGAACAAAAAATAAATACCTAACTAGAATGACAAGGAAAATAAACTAAAAATTCACAAAAGATGATTGAACTATTAACCTGATATTATCTCCTTTTGTCTGAAATTGATCAGGCTTGGATCCAAGTTTCATAAACTTCATCTTTACGCTCTCGAAATATGGATTCACCTACAGTATCCCAAATCTAAACTTGCAGTAATTAAGAGGACAATGCCAAGGAAAGGACCTGGAAGTACCTATACTTCCAGACTTGACAAGATTTAAAGGAGATTTGGCTTCTTTATTGGTTCTTGCTGTAAGCTCAACTACAAACAACCACAAAAGTCCAGTCCAAGATATACAACCCAACCGACTCAATACCTCAAAATATGCAAATTTAAACTCTCAAAACCCAAGGCCACATGCTCACCACTTAGACCACCGCCCTTTCTCTAATTGTTTATTTAAACAACTTCCTCCTCTACTCAAATAGTCTTCCCTCACCAATGAAGTTAAAGGACCTGTAATAACAAAGAAACATTAAGATTTAAGATATGTTTTCAAGAACACAACCACCAAAAAATTTTCGACAAGAATCATCAATAGGGTCTAGAAGGTCGCATATAAGTGAACAAACAGGCACAAATATCAAAAAAATTGTTCTCAACTTGAAAAGAAAACGAAAACAAAATTTGCCTCAAACAGAGCATCACATCGAACATATCACTTACACACAAATCAAACTGAAAACGTGCCACAAAGAAAATCACAAATACACCAAATCCATAATTTCTTGAAAAATTAGGAACCCAACCAGCAAAAATTAGAAAAAGAAATTAAGAACCATACATTTTTTCAGATACAGAAGAAAGAAGCAAAGAGCAACGAAAAAATTTCATGGGAAGGCAAAGGGTAATGAAGGATGTAAATAGAGTGTAAAAGCACTAGAGAAAGCAGAACAACTTTGAGGTACAAATCCAAGAAGACATTCCAAAGGACAAAAAACCCACTATGAACAATCAAAGAAAGAGCCAACAAGAACACAAAAACCAACCAAGAAAAAGATGACTTGTCCCTAATCTTTGCCAGCCACCAAAGCAACACTCTGTATTCACAAAAAGCCAATCTCAGAATGTTCCCAAAATAAAACTTAGATATCAATCTATCTCTTTAGAATCAGCACCGCCGTCCCCACCACCATTACCCTCTTTTCCTTTTTCTCTCCAACCCCCCAAAAAAATCAGTACAGATTATCAAGAAAACAACACCCTTAATTCACAAAATACCTCTATTCACCTCCTCTTCTTTAATATTTTATCTTTTTAGATGAAACTGGAAAGTGGGGTTTGCTTCTTTCTTTTCGCAAATAAAGGTGTAAAGAATCATCATCTTCCAAACTCTAATTATATACTTTTCTCTCTCTCTGTTTTAAGCACTTGTACAGTGATACGCACGCCAATCTGACATAGTCGACTTTTTTGCCAAACACTTCCCCAATTAAACAAACCTTTCTTTTACCCGTATTCTTTTAGCATTAACATAATGACCACTCCATTTTTTCCTCATCTACTTTTATAACAGTGCTTTCCATCTCATTTCTTCTCAATAGTTATACTCAGAATTTTTAAATTTTCTTGTTTGTTTTCTATGGCCTTGCCCTTTGGTGAGTTGAAATATTGCTTATAAGAAAAAAAGTAAGGTTGGAGTTACATAATTGTTGAGCACCAAACCCTAGTTAATCTCAACAACCTCCACCCAAGAGCAACAAGTTATCCCATATTGAAGAGGGTGGAATGTGCTTATTCTTATTGCTACTACATGAAAAGCTATCGTAAATGGAAGTTCCTTAATGCCATATAGTTAAATTGTTGAAGTGTGTGAATACGAAATCAGATTCATTTACATCAATAATTGATAGGAGAAATTTAAACAGTTGCCTTTCGTCTACTAAATTTGAAATCAACGTATCATTATTTGACTAATAGACCATTGCAGTAAATTTGAGTGCAAATTCGTTCACACCAATGTCATATAATCGAACTCTGTATAATGAATTACAAAGCCGTTTAGTTAGTGGTATTAGTTATTAGTTATGCAGGTATTAGTTATGTTGAATTTAATTAGGTGGTTATTAGTTATGCAGATATTAATTATGTAAATATTATTTTGTTAGGTAGATATTATAATATATGAATTATTAATTATTGAATATTAAATTTGTTGTAAATTATAAATATATGTTATTTACAAAATAATAATACATGCTAATAAAATGTGGAATATATTGAATAATGTATAATCTAAATTTTTATTATTTTTTTCTAAAAAATATAATCTCATATGAGTAAATTTAATTCCTGTCAAACATATTTTTTTGACTTTTTTTTGTTCCAATGACTAATTTATAATTATTATTTTGATAATCAAATTTATTTATGTTTCACTAATATTCTTGTAAAACTTATTGTAGATGACCAAATTTTTTTTCGAATACGAAATTAAATTACAATACAAAAAAAAGTTTAATTTTTTATTCTTTAAACTAAGGAATGAAAGAAAACAACAAAATAAGAATAAGAAATTCAAATAATTATAATAAAAGAAGTCAAAAAATAATTTATGTATGAAAAAAATTAAAATATACCTTAAAC